AATATGCCAAACCTAACAGCAATGAGGGAGAAAGAAATCCCCCACTATGCAGCTTTTTTGGACGCACTAAGCGACATGGCAAATGCCATACAAATGCCATATCAGACAACGGTCGGTGCCATTCCAGGGGACCAATTCTTGAAAAATATCGCATACGAAATTTGATATGATTTCGAACGCTTCCCATTTGATTTACATTGCTGTCAGTCAAATTCGAATCAAATTTCGTATGCGATATTTTTCAAGAATTGGGCCACAGATACGTGTAGTTTATAGTTCATTGCCTTTAATGCGTGTATCAAATATCAAATTGTCGAAACAATGTCAAAAAAAAGCGAATTTCGCGCAAGTGAGAAAAGCTTACGGCCGTATTCACCAACGACCGCTAACTGCTTATCAGTCTGATAAACTGCTTGTCAGACTGTTAACGTAAAATTCGGTATTCACCAACCTTGAGTAGTATAATCAGTCTGATAAAGTTGTCAGGCGAAATTTAGGCTGTTGAGTGGAATACAATAACCCTTTCCATGTGGCTCCGGTTAAACAAACCACAACATACCGCTCAAATTCGGGTGGTAGGTATCCATTACGTCACTTTGTAACCGGGTTAGAAAACGGTATGTCATTTCTCTAACCGTTTTGTAACCCGGTTAGTTTAACCAGAGCCACGTAAAAAGAACTAATGAAGTGGAATACCACAAACCGAGTTATCGAACGCGTCTGCGACCCTGGGGCGAGTTCAGAAATAACACACCGGGTGTGAGTGCGATTTTATGGGTGTGACTGAAATGAGATGGCTCCATTTGTGCTACTGTGCATTTGTGCTAATCCGCAAATGGTCTACTCACGAACGCGATCGGTTATGATCGGGATCAGTTAACATGATCGCGGAGGAGTAGCAAGAGTAGTTGAAGCTTATGAAGGTTTTGTGTACGCGGCGGGCGCGCGGAACATCTGGTGTAATCAGCTGATAATAATAAAAATAAATTAAAAAATGTATTTGTATTTAGTGAATGATTGTGGACTTTATTTTTATTAACTACAGTCTACAGTAGAGTTAAGATTTTAGAAATATATAATATACTTATTTATTAAAGCGTAGAGTCCTTGTAGAGTTTATACAGACGTGTAAAATTATTTATAAATGTAAAGTCAATAATACATATACCTATCAAAGTATCTCCCCAGATTTAAAATCATATGGGGTTGTATTATTTATTGATTTCCCAGAATATTAGGTCAATAAACCTAGCAGTCCCATATGGAGAAAAACGAAGGGATTGCTAGGTTAATATGAAATATAGCAGTCCCCTGTAGTGAAAAATATTTTTTTAAATTTTTCTTTGGTATCAGAATTTAGATAATATGCTTTTTAAAGTTCTCCTAAATACCTGGTCAAAGAAAAAATTGAATCAGTTAATTATTAACTGAATTACAGATTTTTTTTCAATATTAGGAAATTCCTGGATTCACGTTTACTTATTGGGGGTGTGTTAGAGGCTTACAGCCAATTTCATAATCAACTTTAAGTAAACTTTAAATATAAAGGTCCATTTGAAGTAGAAAAATCCCATCCAAAAAGTCTATTTAGCTAAAGTAACTTTTAATTCTCTATCATGAAATTGGCCGTTAAACCGTTAAAGGCTGAAATGTTTTTGGATTGAATTTAGGTACCTACTATTTAAGTGCTCCTAAATTGTCAAAGAAACACTTGAATCTGTTAATTATTAACTGAATTACAGTTTTTTTTCATTATTGGCAAATTATTGGCTTCACGTTCAGTTGGTGGTGTGTCAGAGCTAAAATGTTTATGGATAGGAATTAGTGCTATTTAAGTGCTTCTCAATATTTGAAGAAAAACTTGAATCAGTTAATTATTAAACTGAAGTACAAATTTTTTTTTCATTAAGGAATTGCTGGCTTTACATTTACTTGGGGATGTATTTGCATTGCAGCGAATCTGAAAACTGCGACTAAAATGTTGTATTGGAATTTGGTGCTATTTAAGTGCTCCCAAAAAGTTGAAGTTTTAGATAGTTCAAGTTTTTCTTCGACTATTCAGGAGCACTAAGATAGCACCTAATTCCAATTATTACAACATTATAGCCACTGTTATCAGTGTTATCAGTTTCGCTGCAAATATTTACACCCCCAAGTAAACGTAAGGCCAGTATAGTTCAGTTCCCTATAATAATACAAAAAAAATCTATAATTCAAATAATATAACTAATTCATGTTTTTCTTTGACTATTTAGGAGCACTTGAGCACCTAAGTCCTATCCAGAAAAAATTTAGCTTTTAACCACCAACTAGTTAAACGTGAAGCCAACAATTTCCATTTCCTAATAATGAGAAAAAATCTCTATTTAGTTTAATGATTAACTGATCAAATTTTTTTTGACTATTTGGAAACACTTGCATAGCAAGAATCATAAACTATAGGATTGCTTTTCCTTATAAGGCGTACGTTCGCCAATTCTCGAGTCGGCAAGGCCTGCGAGTGACGTTAGTACTATTAGCAGCATAGCCTCTTATAGTGGTGACGTCACCCGCAAGCCTCGATGGGATGCTTGCGATTCAGGTTGTGCTTGTTTCTTCATCGATTTTAAATGTAGAAAAGGTGATTCCTGGTAATGAAAAAAATCTGAATGACTGTTCTTCTTCGACTATTTAGGAGCACTTGGATAGCTTATTTGCTAATTCCTATCCAGAAACTAGCTTCTGCACACAGTGGCTTTACACTCGGTAAACTCCGAGCAGTCCGAGCGCGCTCGAAACATTAAGATAGCGAAAATAGAATTCAACTTCTGGAATCTCTTTCTCAGTGAAAATGTTCTATCTTTGATTGTTGAGTACCCGAATCAATACATAGAAATTGTAAAACCGAAATTCATCAGATGGTTCAATTTTTTTATCAATGATTTAGTATATGTATCTCTGTGATACAGCGTGACTAATGATGTTATAAAACTCGCGATGGAAGGTTAAAATAAATTAATATTTAACCAATAAAATATTAAAAGTTAAAATTTTCCATTTTTAAAGTAAACAAAACACCACACCCACTCAATACTTGAAAAATATCGAAATAGAATTCTATTTTCTATTTTAAATACCCGCCAGATGGAGAGGGAACGGCAACGCTGTACCCATTTGCGCTACAACAACTGCATTCGTTTCGATGAGGGTCATACTCCGGTCGGACTTCGGCTCGTCCGACGTTCCCGCCCGAAGGCGACTTCGGGTGGGTAGAGCAAATGAACATTAGCACAAATGGGGTGATCCCACTGAAATGACAATTCTTAAACGACAACTTTCGTATGAATTTCTGAACGCTTGGTGTGACCAATCAAGCATCTCCTCAAAAATTTCACAAAATCTATAAGGATTACTTTTTTTGTTGTTAATTTTTTTAATTTGAAGGAAAAACTTTAATTCTTATTTGTGTTTTGTTTATATTTGATGGGATTATTAGGCGATTTTCAGCCTGGAATGATTATTTATCGGTAAATACCGTGGTTATTCTTTTGGTTGACAACTTTGACAGCCAAGTGTGACGTCATAGCCCCCCACCATTCAAGAATCATAACCCAAGGAACTGACCGCTGAAATGATTTGATTATAGCAGTGTAGGATTATGTTTATTATTCTTATTTGTTTTTTCATTTCAACAATAGTTTTTTGTTTAGGTACAAAAAATGGAGCTGAATCTCTCGTTACTCTCGTTTATCGAACAGATTTTCTTTGGGGATGATCTAAACCTCGATCTAAACATGGTGAATTGCAGTGAGTGAGTGAATGTATACTTCTTCCATTGTGCCAGGCTACAACGCAACTGCAAAATCACAAAACACCAATACAAATTCCAAAAATAATAACAATAACATCAAAAAGCTGTAACCAAAAGATTAACCCAAGTCCAAAGCTGGGTTATAATCGGTTATAAGTGGTAAATACCAAAAGCAAATCAGCTGATATGTGACGTCACAACTTCCCCTACTTTGGTTAAAACCGCGACGGCGGAAATGCATTGGTTATAACCAAATAATAATCATTCCAGGCTGAAAATCGCCTATTGAGATTATGGGAGGAATGGTTGACATTGTTGACATAAAGACACAATCACACCGCAGCCACACCAAAAAATTATGGTGTGACCGGTGCGACACCTGAGCTGCTTTCCAGTGCCTAAATTGTAGAGTATTATGCTCCTGGAGTGTGAAGCTCTTGAAATGTTCGATATAAGCAGCACTGGAACGCTCTCATCTTAACCTCCACCATTTCGAACTTCAGGAGCATGGAACACCGAAATAAAGGTTGGTGCACGAGGGGGCAGGGGATAACAGAAATGAGTATTTCAAGTGTACGACACTCTAAGCACTGGAACGCGCAAAGTAATTGTGGAGCACTCCTGAGCTGCTCAGGAGTAACTCAAATGGGTCACTGGAAAGCCCCTCTGGAGCGCGCCCAAAGTACTTTCTGAACGGCACAGAGTGCGCGCACTCGGTGTGCCTATAGCATTTATGAACGGCTAGTGCGTCGCACCGGTGTCACACTCACACTGAGTGTGTCATTCCAGAGCCGCTTTCCAGTGCCTAAATTGTTAGAGTATCATGCTCCTGAAGTGTGACGCTCTTGAACTGTTCGACATAAGCAGCACTGGAACGCTCTCGTTTTAACCCCCACCATTTCGGATTTCAGGAGCATGAAACACAGACGAAAGGGTTGGTGCATGAGGGGGCAGGGGATAACAGAAATGAGTAGCTCAAGTGTACGACACTCTAAGCACTGGAACGCGCAAAGCAATTGTGGAGCACTCCTGAGCTGCTCAGGAGTAACTCAAATGGGTCACTGGAAAGCACCTCTGAACTCGCCCCTGATGGTGACATTTCAGCTTACTGTCAAAGTGCACTGCACCATAACCTCACTATTTTATATTTGTTTTTGTTTATATTTATTTATCTTTGCGATTTTTACCTGTTCAAAAAAGCTCTCTGAAAATGTCCACGCTAGGCACAGCGATCGAGTCGCTAACCGCGGCAATGAAATGCAACATAATTCCCAACCAAGAGTACCTTCTACAAGGCTCAGTATTAGATCAATACGTCGAGGTCCTTTTGCACCGTTTGAGGGGCCTTTGTGATAACGTAGACAGCGGTCCTGAAACCTTCAACGACCACGAATTATGCTACTCGCTAAGAGCGAATAGTGCCAACACACCTATGGTATTACCACTCCGAGTTAGAAGAGCTTTGGATGTAAATGATGCGCCTTTTCAGCTGCGCTACGTCGGTCAACAAGAATTAGGTGACAAAAATAGGCCTACAGTTGTAAGATCTTGTATCGATATGGCTTGTAGTTCTACTATCATTGATTTTCTGACTGAACTAGGTGAGAATTGTTCACTATACAACTGAATAATAAAATAACTATTTTTTTTTGCTCTAGGATGTAGATTAGATTTTGAGTACATTGCTCGAGGCTACATGTTTAGGAAAGGACGCATGAAAGTGACTGTATCAAAAATTTTCAAAATGAACGGCATGGCTACTAAACCTGGCGAGGGTGTTGAAGCTATTTCTCAAAGTTACTTGGTGGAATTGTCGGTTCAGGCCCCTTCAGGTCAAGACGCTATCGCTGAAGACATGAGAGTGTTCGCCGAGCAATTGAGGCCTTTGGTTCAATTGGAAAAAATCGATTATAAAAGACTGGGCAGTGTGATGTAAGGGATTGATTTGTGAATTGGACATCTGGAATTATTTGACACTTTTTTAGGCCTTAGGAATAAGCTGTGAGAGGGGTTCCAGAAAATATTTCAAGGCGATTTTATACAATTCTTTTTGGAGCTAAATTGTTTGGACAAGAATTTGAAGACAATGTTTTTTATTGTTGCCTCAGTTAAGGATGTTGAATGTTCGACTTTTATTCAATACATACAAGTATTACCCGTTCGCAAAAGGGTAGAAGCGGAAATAGCGGAATTTTTAAAGTCTGTTTTTTTTTTTAAAGATAAAAGTCAAAATGACATTATGTTGGCAAAACAATGTTAAATTGTCGATGCTTTCAATTTTTTTATGTAGAGAAGGCTCGCGTGTTGCCAACATAGTTACTAAATTTTTGACTTGGAGAGTTATCTTTAAAAAAAAACAAACTTTATTTTTCTTTTATTTAGTCGCAAAATTTTCATATTCAATGAAAAATTGGTATTTTTAGGTTTCTAGGACACGATATACAATACAATAGGTATGGGCCATTGAACTAAAAGACATTATTGAACTTTTTTTTTCAAAAACGCGTCACTTTGCACCTCGGTATGTAATATACTATTTCGCAGGAGAAAAGTACTTTTCCTACAGCCGCGCAGAAAAATCGATTTTCCGCACTGATATGCGTGCGGAAAATGAGTTTTCCCGCACGGTGCGGTAAAACTTTTACCGCACGCATATCAGTGCGGAAAAAGTTTTACCGCACGGCTGTCAATGCGGAAAAAATTTTACCGCACTGACCTGTCAAAAAAAAAAGAAAAATTTTACATTTTTACGCCAGTAGGAAAAATATTGTACTCTTGCGGAAAATATTTCCCCGCACGCGGCTGCCGTTCACCGAACGACGCGTAGCGGAGTTCGGTGAACGGTGAAAAATTCATTTTCCGCACTTGTTAGGTAAATAGCTATTTCGCACACTGTGCCAAATAATTGATTTTCTAGGCAAGTTAGTAATGCGTTTTTAATAGGTTTCTAGAGCAGTCCTAGAAAAAATATTTCATGGTTATTTATTATGCTGTTAATTTGAATTTAACAGGGTATTGATTTTCAGTCAATCTTAATCTTAGTATCTTTTCAATTTTTTTTGAATTTAATATAAATGATATTTATCAAAAATGTTTCCAACAAGGTTGCTCAAAAAGTACTGTGTGCACCATAGGCGGAAAGCGATTTCGAATCGTACACAATGTACTATTTTGCGAAAAATAAACAAAAGTCCATCCTTTATACAAATTTTAAATTATTTTTTCTACTACCGTGCGTAAAGTACTCACTTTACGCACTATTCAGAAGACGTAAAATTTTTCAGTTCACTTCACACACTAGTGCGTAAAGTAATGTCATCAATGACAGATGTCGACCTGTCAAATTACTATTTTTCTGGTAAATTACTTCACGCACTAGTGCGTAAAGTGAAAATACTTTACGCACTAGTGCGTGAAGAATTTGTCTAAATTTATTTTTTTATACATATTTGATTGGTAGTAGAAAAAAATTTGTATGCAATACGTGTGTAAAGCACCTTTTTTCACTCACGTGATTGTCAAAATTCACATTCGTGAAAAAAGGTTCACTTTACACACATAAATAACTATTTTTCACCTAGAGGGGTTGTACTAGAAAAATGCTTTTGATGTCTATGCATGTATGTCAGAGGTGTGCACAAAATATTATTTGAACCATTCACATCAAGAGCATTGTGTGCGAGAAAATAAAAAAAAAAAGGATTTTTTTTTCAAATTTTATTTTTTTTGGGGCGGTTCTATGTAGACAATAGAGGTGCATTATACGAATTTTTCAATATCATTCCTACATTAATACTCCCTGAAAATTTGAACAGCCTAGCATTAGCCCTTCAGATGATATAGAAGGGAGTTGTTTAAATTTCAACACCCTGTATATCTTAAACGGGTAATTATTTTAAAATAAAACATATATCAAAAAATCGGCCAATTATTTATGAGTATTTGCTGTATAGTTTGTGGTGGATTCGCTTTACTGTTCATTAAAAAAAATAATAATTTCCAAAACATCTTTTTTCAAGGTCATTCAACTTTAGAGCGCTCGGAAAAACCACAAAAAAAACGACTTTCAGGGGGATGTTCCAGGGTGAAATTTTGTTGGAAAAAGTTAGACCCATAATAAGCAGCCCTTGCTCTACCAGAAAAAAAAACAGAACTTGTGTCGAGTTTGCGAGGTTCAACCTCTCTTTCCTGGCCTATGATTATCGTCGCGAAAAACTGCATAATAAAGCAGAGGTTGATGCCATATCAATAGACAAAAAGGACTGTGTCCCCTATAAATCGTAGTACATGTTACGTGTTACGGCGCGTACTGTCTCTAGTTACTTTGAGGCGCAATTATCTTTACGGACCACCCAATAATTAGTATTAAAAACTTACTTTTTTTCACCCTGTATAGTATAAAATCTTAAAACAAAAATAAATATAGTTTAAAAAAACTAAAAAACACGCTAGACTTACGAGGGGTGTACACGAGAGAGCGTTTTTAAAAAACTTTATTTAACTAATACAATAGAACTGACTTACATCTAGAAATTACTCCTTTTATAATATTAAAAATAAGCTGAATAGAACAATATAAATGCTGAATTGGAGTTCTCACGGGATATAACTCCTCCATCCTAAGTTAAAAGCATACCAAAAAAGGTATGGTTTTATACAATGGAAAAAATAAAGAAAATGCTAAAAGAAAAATATGATTAAACTAAATAAGTAAAAGTAAAATTGTTAAATTACAATATCGTCTTCTAACGAGGCTTTTTGGGCACGTTTAAGGCGATGTTTCAAAAGTAATTTATAGACAGTAAAAATGCATAGTATTCCTAAAATACAATAAAGTAAAATTGTCCAAAAATTTATTTGGTGCATTTCCATTGGGTTAGATATTTCTTGTAGTCGTCTCTTCTGTTCTTGAAGCGTTGTGGCAATTTCATTGGTTTCCTTCAAGTTGATGGAGTTCAGGTAAAGTGTAGGTGGATTAAAAGCAAACTCCTTTGTTTGGTAATAATTCATCGATAAATTCAGTGTAGGCAAGGATACATCATCATAAGTCAAACGATTGGGCTTATAAGTTCGTAGAGTAATTGACTTTATTTGTAAGCTGCATTCATTTGTAGATTCGGCTAAGTAGGAACCATGAAGCGGTACGTTGTCCTTAGAATTTGGACAAGATGCTGAGACAATTAGTTGTTCGGGCGTTGTGATTATCCATTTTCCGTCCGTTATTTTAGTGATTTGGACATTTTGTAGTCTAATACGGAAAGGGTGGCAAGTAGTGGCATTTTCTTTGTATAAAATCAATTGGACTGCACATGGAGGCTCATGATCAATGTATGCAGTATGGGCTTCTTTACATAAGTACTCGTTGGGTAACAATTGGTTGCAGGTTTGGTCCATATAAGAGTACTTGTTGTTGCTAAGTGCAAGGTATGGTTTGTGTGGAAAGTTCATAAAGAAATCAGGATTTTGTTCGCTTGGAATTGGTATCGGAAATAATTGATAATAGTGATAGACATCCGATTCGACCAATGGTATTTCCAAGATGAAGGTGACAATCAGGCCCTTTGAATAACCTTTAATCTAGATTATTTTTTCGTAGTTCAATATGTTATCAATATTGGCTTCTAATGGTAACACGTCATGCACTAATTGTTTTTTAAATCTACAAATTTCTTTTATTAGCTCTAATGGATCGATTATTGAATTATGGAGCGTATTGATTTTAGCAAATGAGATAGCTACTTCCGTTTTTTCTAAGATATCGTAAATTGTTTGATATAGCATTGATACCTGATTAATTATTATGTGAGTTTGGAAGTATTGATGGTTGTCAATAGCAGACAGAGCTACCTTTTTTATTGTGCTTTCAATTTGCAGTATTCTCGATTTTAGCGTTATTTGATTGGCAGATATATTAGAGATAACGTTTTGAAACTGTTCAATGGTTTTCCCTAATAAATTAATTTGATTAAAAGATGATTTTTTAAGTTTATCTTGATTTTCTTGTAATTGTCTAATTTGCCTATCATAAAGATCTGCATCATCTTTATCAAGATTGCCAGTAATGCATTTTATTAATGATCCTAAAGGATTCAAGATGCCACGTTTTTGTCTTTTTGAGTAACTACTCGTTGGGTCAATTTGCCTTATGTTGTTTTCTATGCGTTTTTCTAATGCCATTAAAGGCAGCAACGTGTTTTTATATTCTCGTTCATAGGATACATTATTTGTAATGTTTTTAATTAAATAGTTAGCGTTTTCTTTGATCAAATAAAATTCGTTAACAAGGGGTGTTAGGTCGTGAATTTGTATTAATGACCAATGATTGGAAACTATTTTGGCAGTTCCCAATTTATAAGGTAGGAGTCCGGGATATTTATTCAGGTTATGGAAGTTTATTCCTACTGCTCCGATGTTGAAGATTCGGATCCATCTGTAACAATAGATTTGATTTTGGTTTCGTTGATATGCAAAATCTCTTTTCGATTTGTTTTGGGGTTTTCAATTTCAATCTTGTTGTTTTCTAATATTTTTGTTAAGATGAATGGACCTGTGAATCTGTGGTGTAATTTACCACGTCGTTTGTCTTGTTTTTTATATATTTGACACCCTATGGTTAGTTTTTGAGGGGTCTTCTTTTGATTATGTTTGTCAATAAGTTTTTGTTTTAAATTAATTGAGTCTTGTTGTATTTTGTTATACAAAACTTCCGTGTTAGTTTTGTGAAGTGTGTCCTAAAATCAATGTATAGGGAGTAAAGCCTGTGCTTGAATGGATTGTGCTATTATAAGCAATTACAGCATAGGACATTAGGGTTGATACGTCAGTATTTTTGTTTTTTTCTCGTAGTATTCTTATGTGTTCTATCAGGGTTGAATTTAACCTTTCAACGGGCGAATTCGACTCGTGATGATTTGGAGTAGTAAAATGGATTTTAATATTATGTGTTTTCAATAAATCCTTAACTACTTCGTTCTTGAATTCTGTTCCATTAT